AGATGATATCTCCTTGTGTTTTAATTTGCTTTTCTCTGACAATTAGTGACACTGAGCATCTTTCCCTATGTATGTTCGCCATCTGTATATCCTCTTTGGAGAAGTGTTTATTCAGATCCTTTGCCTATTTTTTAATTGGATTGTTTGGGGTTTTGGTGTTGAGTAGTATGAGTTCTTTATAAATTTTGGATATTAATCCTTTATCAGATGTATCATTGGCAAATATGTTCTCCCATTTAGTAGATTGTCTATTTTTGTTTTGTTTTTGTGGGGGGTTTTTTGTTTGTTAATTCTCCCCTGAGGATATTTTTTCAATTAATTTTTAGAGAAAGTGGAAGGGAGAGGAAGAGACAGAGAGAGAGAAACATGGGTGTGAGAGACAAATCGATTCCACTTGGGGATGTTGATTTCTGCATCCACCCCAACCAGAGCTGGGGATTGAGTCTGCAACTGACGTACATGCCCTTAACCAGAATTGAACCCACAACCCTTTAGTCCACGAGCTGACGCTCTAACCAGTGAGCAAACTCAGCTAGGGCATCTCTTCGTTTTTTTTATTTTTTTTTTTGCTGTGCAAAATCTTTTAGTTTGATGTACTTCCATTTGTTTATTTTTCTTTTGTTTCCTTTAACCAAGCAGATATATCCAAAAATTGTTCCTAAGAGTGATAAAGTGTTTATTGGATATTCTTCTAAGAGTTTTATGATTTTGAATCTTACATATAAGTCTTTAATCCTTTTTGAGTTTATTCCTGAATAAGGTGAAAGGAGGTGATCTAGTTTCAGTTTTTTTTGCACATATCCATTTAATTTTCCCAGCTCTATTTATTGGATAAACTGTTTTTACCCCATTGTATGTTCTTTGTCAAATATTAATTGACCATATAAATGTGGGTTTATTTCTGGATCTCTATTCTGCTCCATTGATCGGAATGTCTGTTTTTATGCCAATACCATGCCATTTTGATTACTATGGCCTTCTGATATAGTTTTATATTGGATAGCATGATACCCCCAACTTTGTTCTTCTTTCTCAATATTACTGAGGCTATTTGTTTGTTTGTGTGTTTTTTTTTGTAGTTCCATATAAATTTTTGAAATATTTTTTAAAGTTCTGTGAAATATGCCATTGGTATTTTGACAGGAATTGCATTGAATCTATAGATTGCTTTGGGCAGTATGGACATTTTAATGATGTTAATTCTTCCTATCCATGAACATGGTATATGCTTCCATTTATTTGTATTTTCTTTGATTTCTTTCTTTAGTGCCTTATAGTTTTCCAAGTACAGGTCTTTTATTTCCTTGTTTAAATTTATTGCTGGGTATTTTATTTTTATCTTTTTGGTGCAATTGTAAATGGGATTGTTTTCTTAGTTTCTCTTTCTGATATAAAAATGCAACTGATATATGGGTATTAATTTTGTATCTTGCTACTTTACTGAATTCATGGATCATGTCCAGTCATTTTTGGAGGGATCTTTAGGGTTCTCTATATACAGTATCATGTCATCTGCAAGTAATGACAGTTTTACTTCTTTCTTTCCAACCGGATACCTTTTATTTCTTCTTCTTGTCTGATTGCTGTGGCTAGGACTTCTAGTACTATATTGAATAACAGTAGTGAAAGCAGACATCTCTGTCTTGTTCCTTATCTTAAGGGAAGCACATGTAGTTTTTGCCCTTTGAGTATGATATTGGCTGTGGGTTTGTCATAAACAGCCTTTTTTACGTTGAGGTATGTTCCCTCTATTCCCATTTTATTGAAAGTTTTCATCATAAGTAGGTGCTGGATTTTATCAAATTCTTTTTCTGCATCTATTGATATGATCATGTGGTTTTTATTCTTTATTTTGTTTCTATAGTGTATCACATTAATTGATTTGTGAATATTGTACCAAGCTTGCATCCCAGAAATAAATCCCACTTGATCATGGTATATGATCTTAATGTATTGCTGAATCAGGTTTGCTATTATTTTGTTGAGTATTTTTGCATCTCTATTTATCAGGGATATTGGCCTATAATTTTCTTTCTTTGTAAGTGTCTTTATCTGATTTTGGAATTAGATAATGCTGGCTTGGGAGTTTTCCCTTCTATTGAATTTTTGGAATAGTTTGAAGAAGATGGGTGTTAGTTCCTCTTTGAATATTTGGTAAAATTTACCTGTGAAGCCATCTGGCCCAGGGCTTTTGTTTGCTGGGAGTTTTTTGACTATCACTTCAATTTCATTAATTGTAATCAGTCTGCTCAGATTTTCTGATTCTTCCTGATTCAGTCTTGGAACACTGTATGTTTGTAAGGAATTTATCCATTTCATCTAGGTTGTCCAATTTGTTGGCATATAGTTGTTCTGCTCTTTCATTTCTTATTTTATTTATTTGGGCCCTCTCTCTTTTTTTTTTCTTTATAAGTCTGCTTAGAGGTTTGTCAATTTTGTTTATCTTTCCAAAGGACCAGCTCATTGATCTTTTGTATTTTTCTTTTCTTTTTTTTTTTTTGTCTCGATGTGATCCTATTTTCGAAGACCACTTTATGTAAAAGTCTGTGCTAAGATAATGCTGGAAGGAAAAATTTGGTGCAGACAGAAGGATAGAGAGAAAAGGAAAGAAGAAAGAGGAAAAAAATGTTTTAAATCAAAGAGGGAGAACTTCATTTTTCCAGTAATAGTTCTTGCAAAGTATAGATTTGCATGTCTCCTCTTCTGCCTCTCTCTTTCCACTCTCATTGACCACTGATTTGCTAATGTTAGGCTGGCCAGGAATACACTTTCTATTTAGAAAGCAAACACAGCCAGATTTGGGCCCAGGCCTGGGGACTGACTCACTTTTGTTGGGATGACACATTCACTGCACATGTTTCACAATTTTCAGAAACACCAGATTTATTTCTGTCAATACCCAGAGTCTCGCATGGCTGTCCACCTAAGGCCACACACTGAGGTGTTGCTATTTTTTCCCCTGGGGTTTAAATGGATGGGAAGACTTCCCATGCCTGAAACATCACCCTTGTTTGTAAGGAGAGAAAGTCTGGCCAAGAATCGCAGTGTTTTTAACTAGAATTTGGCTGGCTTTCAATAGCCACCATGCCAAGGCTATGCCAGCCAGAGGGGTGGCTGTGAATGCAGAGGGGGTTTGAGACTTGAAACAAGGCAATTTACGTATATAGAATGAAGAGAGCAGAGAGGGGAAGAGAGTGTTGCCACTGATTAAGTTTGGAGTGGGAGGAAGGAAGAGGAAGAGAGGGAATGTAAAAGGAGAAAATGAAAGGGAAATAATGAATGAAGAATCAGGAGAGAGGAGGGAGGGGTGAACTCATTTTAACTAATCAACTACTATGTTAGTGCCAAGCAGTGTTTGGTGCTTCTTCATACACATCACCTCATTTAATTCTCATAACCACTCCGTGGGTAAGCATTACTAATCCTGATGATTATTAATTAGGAAGTAGGGGGTCGGGAAGTTGGAAGTGCCCTAGTTAATACTGATAGTAGGTCAGAGTGAGGACTTGGACCCGTGGCTCTCTAACTCCTCCAGACCGGGAGAACTCTGCTGGCGATCCGAGAGCTCGATGGGAGGCCCTGGGATCTGGGCAGCCTGGGACAGTCAGCTCAAAGGGGGCTGTTTACACACTTAGACATTAAGTGCTTAAGACTCGAAGGGCCTGCCACCGACACAAAGCGCAGGATTCAGAGCTATCTGGAAACTTTCTCCAGGGTAAACAAAAACAACCACTTCAACTGTGTTGCCAACAAATCTCTCTCCAACAAGAAAGGGAAAGGAAAAGTGATGCTATTTCCCCCCCCCCCCCAAGTAAAGGTTACAACAACATTTTCTTTGAGCTGATGCGAGAGCAGCCAGCAGACAGTTCTCTGGTAACCATCTCCATGTGTCCGTGTGGAAAGTACCTTGCAGTGACTAAGCAGGAATTGGGTGATTCACTTGTCACTCTGCTTGGCGACTTGGACTTGTTCGGGCAGCCACAGAGTATTCTTGTGGGCTTCAAACCCAGGCTCTCCCCGCCCCCCCTCATATATATATACACATCTACATCTATAAGTATCTATATACATATATTCACATCTATATCACATTTTCTTTATCCATTCATCCATCAATGATGTGGTCCTATTTTCTTTTAAAAATATATTTTATTGATTTATGAGAGGAAGAGAGAGGTATAGAGAGATAGAAATATCAGTGATGAGAGAGAATCATTGATCAGCTGCCTCCTGCATGCCCCACACTGGGGATTGAGCCTGCAACCCAGGTATGTGCCCTGACTTGGAATGGAACCGTGACCTCCTGGCTCATAGGTGGATGCTCAACCACTGAGCCATGCTGGCTGGGCAATAGTTGTTGTCTGAAGTCCCTAATTTTGGGGGGTAATTTATTAGGGGGCAATAGATGATCAAATATTACTAATCACTAAAGAGTCCCCTGGTGACCCTTTCCTGTCACAATGTTCCCTCCAATGGTAACCATTCTCCTGATTGCTATTCTATAGATCAGTTCTATTTTCATAGTTTCTATCAGTGGAATCACACAGTATGTCCTTTTTTGGTGTCTGGTCTCTTTGGCGCAATATCACGCTATGACATTCTTCCCTGATGTTGCTCATAGCCACAGATTATCATTCTCGTGGCTGCATTCCATTGTGTGAATATACTTCTGTGTCCATTCTACTGCTTGTAGACATTCTGTTGTCTCCAGCCTTGGGCGGTGATGAATAGCATTGCTATGGACATTCCAGTGCGTGCACGCCTGTCGGACATATACCGGAGAGGGGCTGCCGGGACTAAGGTGTTTTCAGCTCTTGGAGCTATTGCCGCGGAGGTTTTCAAAGTGGTTGTACCAACTTACATTCTTACCAGCAGTGTTTGATGGCTGCTCCACATGCTCCTCAGAACTTGCTACTGACCATCTTTCATTTTTGTGTCTTTTGTTTGAGGATGTAAACAATCTGCTAGCCTGCAAGAAGCAGCAGGCTGTCCACCTGCCAAGTGTCATCTGAGACCCGCAGGCTAAAGGCAGAAAAACTGAACTCCGTTGACCTAGATTGGGAAGAATGTTGTAACCGTTCATTCACATCCAGAGAGGAGTTTGCTGGGCTCAGCTTCCACGTTCCTCATTCATCCGGAGCCTTTCTGCTTTGTAAGTGGGGCTGGAGGATGTGATGGAGGAAGTGATTGGGACTCGGAGGATTTTCTTCATTCTGGGGCTCTGAGTCATCTCCAGGTCATGGGGTATTTGGGAGAAGGTGAAGCAGAACATGGCAATTGGCTGTATTTTAGGGCGACCAGATGGCTGGGCCGTGGAAACCTGTTCAGGGGATTTGAAAATTCCTTCTGCCAGACCCTCTAGGACTCACAAGTTTGTGCTTCTGTAATGACGTGACAAGACATCTGGGCACAGCGAACTTGAAATTACAAAAAAAGCAAAACCAAGAGTGTAGCTAATTTGCACAGATAGGCTGAGCTATGGCAACTGAAAAATGTGTCTTCTTTCAGTGCGTTCATGTGCATGAAACCTTCCAAGGAAGGCAGACAACAGGTAAAACCGAGCTCACCCAGAGTTTAGTATTAAAGTGACAGATGACAAGTTGTCACTTTTACTACCAAGAGCTAGAAGCACTGGAGTCCATGATCCAATGCCCATGTGCACGGGGCCTGATATATGGACAATGTGTAATGCTTTCTACTTCTGGGAGGAAATATGCCGTGAGAGATTCACCTCGATTTGTCAATGTCAAAATGGGATGACCTCATAACTCCCCCTCTTGCCCTGGCCTCTCTAAAGCTCAAGGGTAGAGGGACCAAGTGACCCACCACGGCTGCATGTACTGCAGGGTTATCGGAAACCTGACACTGGAACCCGGTGCAGAAGCATCTGAGGTTGGTGGGTCCGTGTTCTATTTGTTTTGCCATCACAAGCGCCTCACAGAAATCTATGTATGAGGCCATGTGGACTATTTTGTAGCAAAAATAAGCAGTGAATTATACCGAAGTGATAGTATTTTAAAATCTACACTAATAAAAGAGAAACATGGTAATTAGCGTACGACCGCTACCCTTTTCATTGGCTAATCAGTGAGTATATGCAAATTAACTGTCAGCCAAGATGGCGGCCGGCAGCCAGGCACTGAAGCGAGCAGGGAGGCTTGCTTGCTGCGAACTCCAACGTTCCCCGCCTCACTTTCCGGCCTCTCAGCTGCAACTCTAAGCAACTATGTACTATGTTGCAAATAAGAAGCTAAACAAAACACCAGAAACCAGTCGGACTGAAAGCCAGCCGGACCGAAACTTTGTATCGATGTTTTCAGCAGCGAGGCCTCAGAGCTAAAGCTGGCCCAGAATAAAAAAAAAAAAAAAAAAAAAAAAAAAACAAGGAGCGCGGTTGGAAGCTTCAGTCACTCGCTTCAGGAAAACAGCCCTCAGCCCCTCACCCAGACTGGCCAGGCACCCCAGTGGGGACCCTCACCCTGATCCAGGACACGCTTCAGGGCAAACCAGCCGGCCCCCACCCGTGCACCAGGCCTCTATTCTATATAGTAAAAGGGTAATATGCCTCCAGCACCGGGATCAGCGTGACAGGGGGCAGCGCCCAAACCCCCTGATTGCCCTGCGGCTCTGTGTGTGACAGGGAGTGGGGCCACAACCTCCCTATCCGCCCTGCTCTGTTCGTGACAGGGGAAGGCGCCCCAACTCCCTGATCAGCCCTGCTCTGTGCCTGATAGGGGGGAGCTCCCCAATCCCCTGATTGCCCTGTGGCTCTGTGTGTGACAGGGTGCAGCACACCAACCCCCTGATCGGCCCTGCTCTGTGTGTGACAGGGTGCGGCGCCCCAACACCCCCCC